TTCTCTGTTTCTATGAACTTGGTTTTTGTTTTTAGGTTCCGCATGTAAGTGAAATCATACAGTATTTGTCTTCCTCTGTCTGACTTAGTTCGCTTTGCATAATGCCCTCAAGGTCCATCTATGTTGTGCAAATGGCAGGATTTCATTCTGTTTTTATGGCTGAATAATATTCCATGGTGTATATATATATATCACAATATTTTTATAACAGGCATAAAAACTTAAAATATCTTTGTCATTCAGATTGAAGAAATATGATTGTGGTCTTCCTCCACAATATCCTGGCCTACATAAAATTATCACGACCAAGTAGATGTACTTCTGGATCCTCAGCTTATTATTTCTGAGGACAGAAAAGTCACACAATATAAACAGACAGAGCACAACCTTCGTAATGACCCAAGGGGGTTGTACTCTGCCCAGGGTCCTAGGTTCTAAGAGATTTAATTCAGGCAGGCACGACTGGGAGGAGACATAGGAAACAAGCTCGACTAGATCCTGGAGATTTGTGAGAAACAGGAGGAATCAGCCATTAGTAGAAGACAGATTCTGGGCAGCTGGGCGATATGTTGAGAGAAATGATATTGTGTTGGGTCCTAACAAAATCTAGCTCTGCCAAAAGGGAGATCCAATAAGACAGGCATTTTTCTGGACTGTAAATTGAGTGATGTTTCAGTCTATAATTTTTTTTTTTTTCTGGTGAGGAAGATTGTCCCTGAGCTGACATCTGTGCCCATCTTCCTCTGTTTTGTATATGGGATGTTGCCACAGCATGCCTTAATGAGCGATGCATAGGTCTGCGCCTGAGATCCGAACCCACGGGCCGCCGAGGCGGAGCGCACAAACTTAACCACTACACCACCAGGCCGGCCCCTCAGTCTATAATTTGAATGATAAATCTCATGTCTATATTTTTAATGATTCTTTTAAAGAAGCCCTTTGGCCTTATTTCTATACTGGAACTGATCCTAATCCTCTTAAAATCTGTAAAGTAACAGATTATGAAAGTAACTACACGGAAGACGGTTGTGTTGTTTCATTTTCTTTCAGTTCTAAATATAACTTAGCCAATAAATCTAGTCTCAATAATTTTGTTTTTATTTTGTTTTTATAGTTCTGCCTCTTAACAACCAGACTTTTAACAACTTTTTACAACTATCTATAAATGCATGGCAATAATACCAATTTCACAGAGATTTTGAGGATCAATTCTAAGATGTTAGTTAACAAGTCCAGTAAGATTTTTCTCTTTAAAAATTACCTATATGTTTTCTTTAAGGAAATTAAGCCAACTTCAATTTTAAAAAATTAAGCCATTTTTAATAAAGTTATGCATGTTGTAGTTTAAAAAGATACTCTTGCCATGTCCCTATCTACCATAAAATTTACAATAAAAAGAAAATAAGGCATTCTAGCTATATTAAGTATCTAAAGCAAGTTCAAAACCGTATGTAGAATATAAACTTGAAGTCATACAACCCAATCAGTAATTTTTTAAAAGGAAGCAACAAAATTCCATTTATAATAGCATCAGAAAGAATAAAATACTTAGGAATAAACTTAACCAAGGCAGCAAAAGATTTTTACATTGAAAACTACAATATGTTGCTGAAAGAAATTTTAAAAGACACAAATAAATAGAAAGATCCTGTGTTCATGGATTGTAAGACTTAATATTGTTAAGATGTCACTACTACCCAAAGAAATCTACAGATTCAATGCAATCTCTATCAAAATCCCAATGGTGTTTTTTGCAGAAATAGAAAAATCCATCCTAAAATTGATATGGAATCTCAAGAGATCTCAAATAGCTAAAGCAATCTTGAAAAAGGAGAGCAAATTGGAAGTTTCACACTTCCTGATTTCAAAACTTATTACAAAGCTACAGTAATCAAAACAGTGTGAGACTGGTATAAAGAGAGACACATAGACTGATGAAATATAATAGAGAGCCCAGAAATACACGCTGGCATATATGGCCAAATGATTTTCAACAAAGGTTCCAAGACCATTCAATGGGGAAAGGACAGGCTTTTCAACAAATGATATTGGAAAAACTGGATATCCACAGGCAAAAGACTGAAATTGGACCCTTACCTTATGCCATAAGGTTTATACATATATACCAAATTAACAGAAAGTTCATTTTAGATCAAAGTAAGAGCTAAAACTATAACTCTTAGAAGAAAACATAGGAGAAAAGCTTCCTAACATTGGATTTGACAGTGATTTCTGGGATATAATACCAAAAGCACAGGCAACTAAAGAAAAAATAGATAAATTGAACTATCAAAATTAAAAACTTTTATGCATCAAAGGACACAATCAACAGAGTGAAAAGGCAACCTATGTAGTGGGAGAAAATATTTGCAAGTCATACATCTGATAAGGGGTTAATATCCAGAATATATAAAGAACTCCTACAACTCAACAACAAAAAACCCAAACAACCTGTTTAAAAAATGGGCAAAGGACTTGAATAGACGTTTCTTCAGAGAAGATATACAAATGACCAACAAGCACATGAAAAGATGCTCAACATCACTAACCAGTAGGGAAATGCAAATCAAACCTCATACCTATTAGGATGGATGCTATCAAAAACAAAACAAAACAAAAAACAGAATACAACAAGTGTTGGTGAGGATGTGAAGAAATGGGAACCCTTGTTCACATGTAAATGGTGCAGCCACAATGGGAAACAGTATGGCGGTTCCTCAAAAAATTAAAACTAGGGGCCGGGGCCAGCCCCGTGGCTTAGCGGTTAAGTGTGCGCGCTCCGCTACCGGCGGCCGGGGTTCGGATCCCAGGCGCGCACCGACGCACCTCTTCTCCGGCCATGCTGAGACCGCGTCCCACATACAGCAACTAGAAGGATGTGCAACTATGACATACAACTATCTTCTGGGGCTTTGGGGGAAAAAAAAAGAGGAGGATTGGCAATAGATGTTAGCTCAGAGCCAGTCTTCCTCAGCAAAAAGAGGAGAATTAGCACGGATGTTAGCTCAGGGCTGATCTTCCTCACAAAAAAAAAAAAGAAAAAAAATAGGGGCCGGCCTGGTGGCACAGTGGTTAAGTGCGTGTGCTTCGCTGCAGCAGCCCTGGGTTTGCAGGTTTGCAGGTTTGGATCCCAGGCACGCACTGACCCATTGCTTGTCGAGCCATGCTGTGGCAGCGTCCCATGTAAAGTAGAGGAAAATGGGCATGGATGTTAGCCCAGGGCCAATCATCCTCAGCAAAAAAGAGGAGGATTGGCATCGGATGTTAGCTCAGGGCTGATCTTCCTCAAAAAAAAAAAAAAATTAAAAATAGAACTACCATATGATCTAGCAATTCCACTTCTGGGTATATATCCAAAAGAAGTGAGCAGGGTCTCGAAGAGATATTTGCACACCCATGCTCATAGCAGCATTACTTACAATAGCCACAAGGCAAAAGCAACCCAAGTGTCTATGGATGATGAATAGATAAACGAAATGTGGTCTATCCATAAAATGGAATATTATTCAGCCTTAAAAAGGAAGGAAATCCTGTCACATGCTACAACATGGATGAACCTTGAGGATATTATGCTGAGTGAAATAAGCCAGGCACAAAAAAGACAAATACTGTATGACTCTACTCACATGAGGTTCCTAGAGTAGTCAGAATCATAGAGACGAAAAGTAGAATTGTGGGTGCCAGGGTCTGATGGAGTGGGGAAGGGGAGTTAGTGTTTAATGGGGATGGAGTTTCAGTTTTGCAAGATGAAAAGAGCTCTGGAGATGGATGGTGGTGATGCACAACAATGTGAATGATGTACTTAATGCCACTGGACTGTATACTTAAAAATGGTTAACATGGTAAATTTTATGTGTATTTTATCATAATTTAAAATAAAAAATTCAATCAATTCAATTTAAAAATGAAGCAACACAATGACTTGTCATTTGTTGACTATCAGAGTGGCAAAGATAAGATAAATTAACAATTCTGCCTGATGAAGAGGGTTTAAGAAAAAAGGAACTTCATAACCTGTTATTACAACTCTTCTTGAGCAGAGTAATCTGAAAAGTGTATCAAACTGTCAAAAATGTAGCCCTTGACCAAACAAGAGAGCCTTAATACCCTGCACTTCTGTGCTGTGCTCAGTGGCTCTGAGCACACTCCTGCAGCTTCAAAGAAGACCCTGAGACACCAAGCTGGAAGCCACCCGCAGACTGGGCGGGGCTCAGTCAGCACGGGTCCAACCCTGCACAGACCTGCCCAGCACTGACATTGGGAGGCTCAGGGGTGTGTGGCAGGGCCCCCAAGGTGGCTGCTGCAGGAGGGGGGAGGAGAATGGAGCAGGTGCAGGCTAGGGTGTAGGCTCCCAGGTGGGAATGACGAGCACATTCCTGATTGACGACTTCCATTTCTCCAGTCAAGTGTGAGAACTCATCACTCGAAAGCTGGGGCAGTTTAGAGGAGGAAGGAGATGGTGTGAAGAGTTGTTCAAGCCTCTTGAGAAGTAGAGCAGGACAGCCGGGTGGTTCTGAGACCCTCTGGGGCTGGCAGTCGTGAGTTCTCAGTGGTACCCTCCTGCCCGGGCGCGGGTTGGGCATCAGCGGCTCCCAAGGGGAAGAGGACAGGAACAGAGTAGGCAGGCGGTTGTCTTAGGCCAGGAGCCAACCCTGATAATGATCTGGGTGATGTAGCATTTGAAGACAAGGGGAAGCTGAAAATAGAAAGCAGTGAGGGTAGCACCAGCCGCCTCGTGGGGCTGTTGTGAGGACAGAATGCCATAACATGTAGAACCGACCAGCAGTTCCGGGTGCTAAACAGAGATTCGTGCCCATCCTTCCTTTCCCCTCCTGTCTCATCATTCCCTGAGAGCAGTGAAGTGAGATTCCTGGATGGAAATGGAGCCACCCCTTCCCCCAGCCCGAGAGGGTTCCTGTCCAGCACCAATGGGGGAAAGTTCCAGCATCCCAGCCCGCTCCCCAAAGCCCATCCCACCACCACCTCCTTGCCAATCGCAGAGATTGGTTGGGCACCACTGGCTTCGGCATCTTCTTCATCCTCTTTGGAATACTCCTGTACTTTGATTCGGTGCTCCTGGCCTTCGGAAACGTGAGTGCCCAGCCCTGTGTACCTCCCCCACCAACCTACCTGAGGTCTCTATTGCTGGGGGGGTCAGCCCAAGTTCATGCAGATCATGCCCATCCAGGCGTCAGACACCATCAAGCCTGGGCAGGCGAGTGTCGCTGGGGGTGGACAGTGAGGCCTGCTGGGCATGGAGAGTCTGAGGACCTGGATTCTCATGCCAAGCTCTGAGTGAGGCCCTGGGGGTGCCAAGATGAATCAGACACTGTTCCTGCCATCGGAATCCCGCCGTCCAGGGACAGGGATGTAACATGAACATACACGACTAGGAAGGAGGGCAGGGGCAGCAGTAAAGTCACAGTAAGATAAACACATTTAATACGAAACAAGGTGCTTGGAGGAAAAGCACACCCAGTGGGAGGAAGGATGAAAAGGAACGTGGAAAGGAAATGGGCGTGGAGGAGGACAAAGCACTGCCAGGTGGGTGGAACGTGCTGGAAGAAAGCCAGACTTAAATTTGGTGGGGGCCTAGGCACTCTGAAGGGATCAGCAGCAGCCAAGCTGAAGACGGTGACAGGGTCTTAGAGCGGAGGGCCTGAGTGCAACTCCACAGGCAGTGGAGCCTCAACGATTCCCTGTGACTTTGGGTGGGGCCGCCTAACCTATTTAGGCCTCATTTGTGAGACAAAGAGGCTTTCACTATCTATCCCATCTTCCATGGGAGGTTTGATGAGAAATAAAGTCCTATATGAAGAAGCACTTAGGATCCAAGAAATTGGGTCCAATTGGGTGAGAAGCCGGGGACCTTTCAAGTTCTCTTGTCCATCCCCGTGCCTCTGGGCCGTTCCATTCCTAACAAGCCCAAATCACTCAAGGCTCCGGGAATTTGCCATGTTGCTGGGTCGCCCTCTCTCATGTCGTCCCTCCTTGAAGAGTTAGCAAGCCCTGCCCCGTGCCTCACGGCAGAACACCTGGCCCCTGACTCCCGAGGGGCTGGTGTGCGGGTGCTCACGCTCCTCTCCCTGACCCCCAGCTCCTGTTCCTGGCCGGCCTCTCCATCATCATGGGCCTGAGGAAGACACTTGCCTTTTTCTTCCAGAGGCACAAGCTCAAGGGGACCAGCCTCTTCCTGCGGGGTGTGGTCATTGTGCTCCTGCGCTGGCCCCTCCTGGGCATATGCCTGGAAACCTACGGATTCTTTAGCCTCTTCAAGTGAGCGCCGGTCCCCTTCCCCTGGACGGGTCCACAGGGCCTCTGAGTAGCTGAGATCACCACCCCCGGGTGGGCAGCACCATCAGCAGAGTGTGTAGAGGCTGAACTTTATCCTGCAAGAGATGGGAGCCACTGAAGGATTGAAAACAGGAGGAGTGTCAGGCAGACACTCGGAAAGGCCCCTCCTCCAGTAGGTGGAAGGGTAAATTGGAGGGATCAGCCCATCCATCAGCAAACACTGAGCACCTGCAGTATGCCCAGCACTGTGCCCATCGCCAGGGAGGGGCCACGGGGCCTGCCCTCAAGTCCAATGATCCAGATGAGGAGGAAGGGCAATGAGCCAGCATTTGCCAGGCCCCTAACATGCACCAAGCACGGTCACAATCATTATCTCATTTTGTCGTCTCCACAACCCACTGTAGGATTGTCCTCTACAGATCAGGAAACCAACGCTCAGAGAGGCTGCCCCCTGCCCGAGGCCTCACAAGTCGTGTGCAGAGGATCTGAACTTGATCCAGGTGTCTCTGGCTCCTGGCCCCACACCCCTCAGCCTGGCCCCTGTCAGCCTGGGCCTGGGGAAAGGCAGAGTGGAACTCAGGAAGGATGTGTGGCCACATTCAGGGCCAGGGAGGTGTCCTAGAGGAAGCGGGACCTTGAGGGGTGGGGAGGGTCTCAGAGAAGACTGGAGGGTGCTTAACGAGAAGAAAGGAAAGGCTATCAGGGAAGATGGGGGTGTGAGGGGAGACTCAAGTGTCTTGGGGCCCTGTGGAGAGAATGGGGTAGGGTGGGGGATGATGGGGGATGGAGAATCATGGCTATGGACTCATGGGAAGGAGCTGGGGGCAGGAGCCCCTGGGTCCTCATGTGGCCTCCATTCGCTCAGTGCAGCCCTGAAAACACCTTGATTCGCCTGAACACCCTAGACCTCATAGACATCAGAGAGTGTGGCTTCAAGAAACTGAATTTCCTCACCATGTTCTGCCATCTATTTATTCAATATTCACATACGACATTACTCAGTCATTTATTCAGTCAAGTACATAAAAAGCATCTACTGCATGCCAAATGCAGGGCTGGTGTGGGGATACGGCACGAAACGAGGAGAAACTTCCTGTGGAACTTGCAATTTAGTAGGGGACAAGTAAATTCTGACAATAGCTCCCATTTATGGAGGGCTTAGAGGTGTGAGGGGGGCCACCGCAGGTGCAGTAGTTCCAACCAGAAGTAACCCTTGACAAAGGCACCTTGCAGCAGCATTGTAAGAGATAAAAAATAATAATAATCAGAGCTATCAGGACCTCAGAGATGCAGGTGAACCTCAGGGAGTTGAGGCCCAAGGAAAGGAGACAGCTCAGCCAGAATTCAAATTTCTAACCCCTCACCTCTCCACTAGACACAGGGCTCTCTTCCCATGCCAACCGGCCCTTCCAAGCCCTTTGAAGGATCACACATCTTTCCCCAGCCAGGCTTGCCAGAGGGGCTTTGATAAGAGTGGGGGTGCCAGGGTGTGTGGGGGAATGAACACATTCCCTGGAGCCCAGGAGACCTGCAGCAGGTGGTGCACACCCAACCAAGGGAGGAGAAGACAGCAACAATCATAAAAACAAACTCTCCAGAGCATTTCTTGTGTAAGGTCCTCTGATGTAGATACTATTATTATTAACCCCATTTTACAGTTGGAAACTGAGATTCAGAGAAGTGAAGGACTTTGCCCAAGTTTCTGCAGTGCCAGTAAGTGGCAGAGCCAAGATCTGAACCCAAGGAGTCTGACCCCAGGGCCTTCATTCTTAGCCACTCCACTTGGCTGCCCAAGAAACAGAGGTGCAGAACAAAGCCCGTCCCCAGTGCCCAGGAGTCCATTCTCCTGGGAGCCAAAGCTGGAGCCTTTTGGTGGACCTCAGCCTCATTATTCTCTGTGCTCCCCTCCCGAGCCATGACTGACCCCTCCTCTACTCCTGTGCTCCTAGGGGCTTTTTCCCTGTGGCCTTTGGCTTCCTGGGCAATGCCTCCAACATCCCCTTCCTGAGTGCGGTTAGTGGCTTATGCATGTGGCGTGATGGGGGTGCCTTGGGGTAGGGGAGCACAGGGAGTTGGTAAAACTGCTGCCCCAGGTGCAGAGGACCTCTCCCATCTCCCCTGAGACCCCCTTCCCCAGGTTGGCCAGCCCCAGCTCCTCTTCCCCCCGCTGCGCCATCTCCATTTGACAGGAGCAGACGAGGTGAGGGGACTCGTGAGCAGCTGTGCCTAAGGTGTGAGTAGACAGGAAGGTGGCTATTAATAGCTCCTTATTAGAGCCCAAGAAACAAAGACTCAGATGGTCTAGGTGACTCAGCCAGAAAGTGCCAGAGATTTCTGGGGAGCTGGCTGAGTCTGGGCCCCAGGCATGAAGAGGATGTGTGACAGCCAATGACAGCAGGAAAAGCAGATGGCAGATTCTGTCCTCTCCTTGGGGCAGGCAGGGGGCAGTGGTCCCCAGCCCCCCCCCTTTTTCTGAAGCACCTGACAGGATATGAGCTCTCTGAGAAGCCCAGGGAGGGCCTACGGCCAGCACCTTGACACGCCCGCCAGCTGGGCACACCCTGAGGCCCCTCTCCATATCTGCACTTGGAACTGCCCCTGCTCTCAAGGCCGGCTCCGTTCCATAATAACCTAGATATTGAGTCTGCTCCACACTCTTTGTCTGGAGTAATGATTCTTGGCTCCCACAGCTGTTCCGGAGGCTTCAAGGCACAAGCTCAATGGTCTGAACAGCAGAGATGAGCTCCTTGAAGTTGGATCATTGGTTGACGGGCTGGAAAAGAAATGGGGCCCAACCCCTCATGCCCCAACCCTGCACTTAGTCATCTCCCGTCATACCCGGACCTCTCCAAGGCCAGAAGGAAGGATGGAGCCAAGTGACTGACCTCAGATTCCCAAGTCAACTCAAGAGGCTGTCAGGACGATGGGAGCAGAGATCCAGGGCCCCCTGGAGATGGGACTGGGGCTGCTATCACATCCCGCCCTGTATTTATGGGAGGAAAAGCAAAGATTAAATCCCCCAGCTGTGAGTGTGTCCGAGACTCAGAGTCAGTGTCTCTAGCCCATTAGGTCCACTCTCTGACTCAGGGCACGCGACACACGCATCATTCCACAGGGCAAGGGGCAGGCTTGCTCTCACAGGCTGTCATTTCTGTCCTGGTGTTTAATAGTCCTAACGAGTGAGACAATACGTTTGCAAGCCCCTGTTAGCAGTAGGCATTAGATAAGTGATGGGTATTCAACCATTAATTCTCAACCATTAATTAGGGGGGTGTCGGCACAGCACACCCCCCAGGTAGAGCCTGTGCTGGGAGAGCTTCCTGTCTGAGGGTAGAGACGTAGCCGCTGCCTTTGGAGAGCCCCAGTCTGACCAAGGGAAGAGCCTCTGTCCTAGAGAGCCCCTTGTCCAAGGGTAAGGAGCCTTCTTGCAGGCCAAAGAAAGAGACAAGGGTCGTCGTTGCAATGCACACATTTAGTAACTATGAGAGCCTTTACGTCTGGACGAGGGAATGGAGTGGATGCTGAGGGTGCCAAAGGACGATACCTGGTACTTCAAAGTGAAGTACCCAGCAACGACAAAGCGCTGTGATCACGGCCACGACACGCGGAGGTGGGGCCTCAGGAGCAGGACCTCCCAAGACACTGCACCTGGAGGTCACTTTTCTGCGTTCCCTGAGCACTTCCTGCACGTAGGTGCACCTGCGGCCATTTTATTCCTCTCTCTTTGCCAAGGGCTGACATACCTGCCTCACCCATCTGCCCACGTCATATTCATCTCAAAACCCTGTGCTGAGCAAGTGCTCAGCAATTGTTTGGGAAAAGAAGGGAAGAAGGAAGGAAAAAAAAAAAGAGAGCATTTCCCCCGAGTTGCAGATCACAGCCCAGGAGCCGCCTTCTGGTCTGAGCCCCAAGCTGAGCTGGCCAGAGCTGGAAGCATCGGGAGCAAGGAGCCCCTTGGTCAGACTGCGCCCCTGTCCTCTCCCTGCCTCCTCCTTTACCACACTCACCTCACACTGCGTGTGCTTGTCGTTCTTGTCCGCAGGGGGAATAAGACATTTCACAAATAGTCCATTTCCACGTTGTTTGGGGCAGAATGGGTCTCCAGCTGAGTGGGTCTGGAGGAAGGGGGTGAGGAGGATGGAAGGAACTCGTGACAACCAGAAAGCCAGCCTAGGAGGACTTCTGGGGGTAGGAAGAGGCTGATTTCAGTCATGAGAGCCAGGAGGCCGGAGACAGAAGTCTGGGCTGTGCTCTCTGAGGGGTCTGAGGAGGAGGGAGAGAGGCAGAGGTGGGCCTGTGCCTGGAGACGTCACCCAGGGCTTTATAAAACGGACATGATCAGGGGGGCTGGCAGAGGGAGCCCAGGAGCACAGCTCCCCTCCCTCTGGGCGTTCATCCACCTCAGTAGTCACCACCTCACAGACGCTGCGGGGCTCCCACCATCCCAGAACGGAGCCAAGGTAGGTGCACCTGAGAGGGGTCATCCACACCTGGGAGGGGTCTGCCCAGCTGGGAGGCTCTGGAGGTGGGGGCAGGAATTCAGTTCCTGGACTGACAGATGTGTCCCAGGCAGGCAAAGGAGTTGGTGGTGATCCTTCCTGACGACCAGGTTGGCCAGATTATTCTGGGATGTTGGGGTGAATACGCTGACTTTTGCACTTGATTTGTGAAGCCAGGACCCTCCCAAGGACTCCCCTTACTGTGGTAAGAGTGAAGGCAATGAATGAACTCTCTGTGGCTGGAATTAGAGGGAGCAGGGGAACCCCTCGGGGCTCATGGGCTCATTGGGGCTCCTCTGAGCAGTTCCCCCAACTTATGGATAGCAAATCCAAACCTACCAGAGCCCCATCCCACCCTGTGAGCCCCCTGCACAGAGAACTGGGGTCCCCCCAGGAAGGAGGCCACCCCACCTCAAAAGCTTTCCAACTATGCCTGGAATTGCTCTGTTACTCACTAGGTACAAAAGCCCCAGGGGCAGGGGAACCACATTGTGGCCCCTTGGAAGCTGACAGTTCTTTTCCAAACAATTCAATTCTACCACATGTTCAGAGTTGAGGGAATCTGTGTGCGTGTGCGTGTGCGTGTGTGTGTGTGTGTGTGTGTGCGCGTGCTGGGGTCAGGCAGTGGGGGGAAACCAGAATTCTCACGTGGTGCCCATGGTAAGTGCTCTCTACGATGGGGAGGAGGCAACACGGGGTGAGAGGAGCACTACCTTCTACCCACACAGCCTGCCCTCTCCCCGCTTCCTCATTCACCATCCTGCTCCTGCAGGGCCGCTAGAAGGCTCCATCTGAAATGCATATCTACATACATTCCTCTCTGGCTCAGCCTGTTCCAGGACAAAGCCCCTGCTTGGCCCCTTCCCCAGCCTCCTTACTCTCTCCGGCAGAGCCCCAACCTCCTGGCGGGCTGCGGGGCCCGCAGTTCCCTCCACACCCAGCCCAGCCGGCCCACTCCAGCTCCCCCTGCTGGAATTGCCTTCTGTAAACCGTTCTTCATCTGGCAGACTTGTGCTCAGAAACTCAGCTCAGGTGCCAGCCCTGCTGAAAGCCTGCCTGGACCCTCCAGACCCCCCAGTCCCTGTGTACCAACTCATCTGGCCTACCAGTACAGTGTTATTTTGAAATGGCCTGCTGACGACTCAATTTCTTGTGCTAGACTCGAGATCTGGGGGGAGGGGCTGCCGGCCGCAACCCTGTGCCTTGACACACTTGTGCACACACAGTACCTAGGCGGTGCTGTGATCAGGAACGATTTCTGAACTAACCTGGACCCTATGCATCCAGGGTCTGGAGCCACAAAAGGAATGGTTTCGCACTGTTCTCTCTTACGTATTGATACTGCCTCTACTCCACGCCCCACCCCAGGCCTTAAGGCAAGTGCAGAGAGCGGAGGTCTGGTTTCGGGTGTCACAGAATCAAAGTCTGCAAGGATAAACGACCATCTGAGGGGACAGTCGGTGGCCAGTCTGATCCAATGCTCCTATTTACAGACGGAGCAATAAGGCCCAGAGATGGGCGTGATTTGCTCACGTCCCACAGGGAGGGGTGGGCAGAGCTGGGGCCAGATTCCGGTATTCCTGATCCCGGTTCAGGATTCCTACCCTCTACCCCTCGCCTGGGGCCTGGAGGGAGCTGGAAGGGGAATGGGGAGTGGGGGCGAGGACGGAAGGACGGATGGGGCTGAGCAACCGTTAGGAGCTGATGGTCCCGCCCCTCCCTCCCTCTTGCCCCCTCGCTCACCAAGAAGGCTCCAGCCCTTAGATTTAGCGCTGATGCCCTTTTCCTGAGCCTGCAGCGCCACCTCCTCCCCATCAGTTTGTCATTAATCATGCCTGTCGCACAATCTCAAAGTGCCTGATGACTTTTTCAAAGAGAAATTAAACTTGGGAGCTGGAAGCGCAACGCGGCGGGGGTGGAGGGCGTGAGAGGGTAAAGGGAAAGGGGGTGAAGGGAGGTCACGGTACACAGCTCCCATCTCAATAGCCTAAATCCTGAGGTCAATTCCATTCATATCCTCCCAGCCCGCAGAGAATAGAATATGGGGACAATTGCCCTGAGAAACCAGGGAAAGGTTTTTCTCTTCTCTGAATTATAGGCAATAAGACAATTTAATGACGGTCTTCAAGGCTGTGAAAGGCTATAAGAGAGAGAGAGTGCAAGATGATTGCCTCTTTCTTCCTTTTTTCTTGAAAAAGGAAAAGAATTAAGTTTCTATTACAGCAGGAGGGAACTGGGCCAGGTTCGAGAAAGCACATTCTAATGAGAAGAGCAGAGCACATTTATGCAGAGCCCAGCTGGAGGGAAGAAGCGCCTGCTCGCAGGCTCCAGAGAGAACATTTGATCCCAACGTCCTACCACTCCGTGACATGCCTTGCACCACGTCCCTTCACCCCTCCCTGCTCACTCCGACACATTGCATCTCACCCCTCCTTTCTACAATGTTCCTCTCAAGCAAACCTGAGATTCAGAATCCCGGCCATTCTCCAACCTGAGCAGTCTTGCCCTTTCCATCAATATGGACCCTTCCTTCCTTCCTTCCTAACTTGACTGGCCTCACCTCCTGCAGGAAGCCCTCCCTGACAATCCTCACTTAGCATGAGTTCAGCTTTAACTAGACTGTGTAAGTGGTCTCAGTCCCATTTCCATGATGCATCTGTTCAGACTCATCCCTCTCCTGGGGCCTCCAAGGACAGGGTCTGTTTCCTCCCTTCCAGGGCTCTCTCCTTCACCCAGGGCTCTGCCCCAGCACCCAAGCCAGACCCTGCGCCTCCCCTAGTCCTTCTTCCCTCTCTCTGTCTTGGCCTCAGGGCACTTCCAGGACCTGCATCTTCCCACCACAATGAACTCACTGGTTTTTTGGCAGCTGATGCTTTTCCTCTGTGCCACCTCCTTCAGGGAGACATTAGAAAAGGTGGCGCCCGCGGAGAATCCTAGATCCACAGGTATGCGCCGTCTGGGAAGAAGGGTGGGAGGGAGGAAGTGAATTGTTGCAAAGTGCGAGTTACCATATTTTTCAGATGATGGCTAGTCTATTGAAGTGAGTTTAACACTGCATCTAATGGAAGCCGGAGACTGGCCCATGCAACTCATTTAGGGGTCCCATTCACCTTGCATGTTAGGGCTGGCTTGCCGCTGTTATGGGCGTCAGGAGGCTCCCCTGGGTTCAGGCGCTTGTTAACGGCAGGGCTTCTGCACGGTTTTCTCTGCTTCACGCCAACTGCCTCTCTGTGCAGATCTATTGAGAAGGAATTTACGACGTAGGTTTCTTTTATTAGTGACCTCACACCCTTTGTGGGGAAT